GGGACCGGGGACCCTCCTCTTCCTGGCCGCCTCGGGGGTCCCAACGCCTCTGGCCAGGCCGTGAGCAGCGACGTTTTAGCATCCGCCGCCAAAAATATCACCGCGTGTTCCCCCGGCCAAGCAGGGCTTTGTAAATAAAAACCAACCAAGCTCTCGGCGAGGGGGGAAACGAGGAAAATAGAGGAGAAAATAAAAAAATAGTAATTGTGCCCGGCGCCTCCCTGTGCCCAAAATGGGGGGAAATGTGCTTACTGTGCTGCGCTGTCGCCCCCCCAGGCAGGATGGTGCTGGCTCCCACCGGGGAAAGGAGCTCCTTGGGGAGAGTGAGCCAGCCCTTTCGTTAAATCCTGGCCCTCGTTAAGCTCATTAAAGCGCAGGGGTTTGCTCTGGCAGGAAAAGCCGTGGGGTGGAGCGTGCCAGGGTTGCTACGGGGCACAGCAGCATTAAACCCCCCCGGGGACGCATCCCCCCCATGCCTGAGCCTGCACAGCCACCCCGGGGCAGCAAATTTTGCCCCCCGAGTAATTCAGGGCTTTCTGCCCCCACCCCAGCAGGGAAAGCAGCTGGTAAATCCCCAACCTGAGCTCAAAATCCCCCATGCTGGGGGCTGGAAGCATCCCCGGTCCCAAAATAAATCAGGGATCTGACCCCAAGCCGCCCTCCCAAGGGGGCTGGTGTCTCCCAGCCGCTCTCTTCCCAAGCCTGCAGCTCAGGAAAGCACCCTTCTCCTCCCCGAGAGCCGCAGATTTAACGGTGAGAGGGAGCTGGCACCGGGGTGAGCAAATGGCATCAAGGATTTACGGCATCTTGGGTCGCTCCGGCCAAGCAGGAGCTGCCTCGAGGCTCCCCCCTTTCTTTGGGGATGCAAAAACTTTATTTTTCCCCTCATTTCTTTCCTTACCTTTCCCTCTCGGAGTCCTTCACAACCATAAAACCACTGCTAAGCAACAAGCGTCTGTTGTGCTTCGTCATCCCACACCGTCTCCTCGACACCAGCCAGGAGGGGGAACCACAAAAACTCATCACGGCCCCCTCCAAGCCCGTGCAGGGAGGGGTAAAAAAATTCCTATTTGGCATCAAACCCATTTTATTATTCGCTTTGAAGTGCTACAGCTCTCACCTGGGTTTGTGCTGCCAGGCAAGGTTCAGCTCTGAAACCAAAATGCTCGTCACCCAGTTGGAAATGGAAATAATAAAAATCAGAGGGATGGGGGGAATAAAAAGCAAAGCAGCAGGACCTTGTACACAGGAAGGCCTGAATATAAATAGGTAAGAAAATATTTATTTGTTTAAAGAGGAATCTCAAGCCCAGCTCTGTCAAAGAGACCGACTCCATTACATCCTTCATCGCGCACGTCGCTTAAAATGTCCACAGAAAGAAGTAAAAAACCAAAAAATTTGTCTTCAAAATAAAGGAGTAAATTTCCAGAGCAAGAAATGAGGAATTTCAGCACGGAAACGCATCACAGAGTTCAGCACTCGGCTAAAAACTGGGGGGATGCTCGGCGTCTTGGCAGGGCGTTGATCTGGATTTTGCAGGCAAGATGGCTCCAGGACGCTCGCCACTGAGGGGAGGATTTCTCCAGCCCAAATATGCGAGGAGAAAGCAGAGAAGTCTCCCAGGCGGCTCCGTCGCAATAAACCTTTAGCAAAAGTGACCTTAGTGGGGGGAGCGCTGCGAGCGAGAGTCCTGCTCTGGGCACTCGCTCACCCTCGCGTTATTAAGCATGAGGCAATGAAGCTGACAGTTTGTTTGGGTTTTTTTTTTTTGCAGAAAGGAGAAGCCTGAGCGATCCAGGTAGAAAATAAAAGCCCCCCCGACACGGAGGGCGCTGGTGTGGTGTTTTAAGGCACGTACTCATTTGCTCTCCGGCGCTCGTTTTGGCATTTTGATGCCAGGAGTGAGGGGATTTAAGGGCAGGAGCAGAGTGTCCCAAAGCCCCTGCTTTGGTCCCGAAGGAATCGTGAGGATCCCAGCACCCGTGCGGGGAAGAACAGACGAGGGGCCTGGGTCAGAACTGAACCCAGCCTGCGTTTGCCTGAGTCTGGTTAGAAGCCGACCTGGAGAGAGAGAAAAAGGGGGGGGGGGCGGAAAGGGGTTTAGAACCTGAAAGGGACTGCAGCACACAGGGAGGGAGCTGGGCAGCCAGAAATGGGTCCTCCACGGTCGCCCCAAAACTCTCCCCCTGCACAGAGCGGCAGGGGAAGACAGGGCATGCCACCGGCGCTGGGAGGAAGAGGAAGGCAGCGCCCACTGCACTGAACTTGGGGAATTTGCAACGCACACCATCAGAGCCACTTTGAAATCCCAAAGGGGTGTTTGGATGGAGCAGTGCCCCCATCCCAGCAGGGGTTTTCAGCAAAACCAGCGGGATTTGGGTGGGATGGGGAGGGTTCTAGCACTGCGGGGATCGCCCACGCCACACACAGCCTCACCCCGAAGCTTTGGCAAAGTCTCCCCAGACATCGGCGGTGGCAGCGGCAGAGGGAGCAGCAGCGGGTTGTGGCCAGGACAAGAGGGGGTCTGTCGGCAGCCAGGAATGTTGGGAAGAAAGAAAACAAAACATCAGGAGTTACTTCCCACTCTTATTCCCAGATTCTCCCTCTGTTATCCCAACTTTGATGGATAAAAGTGACTCTAAAGAGCTTTACTGTCATTGCTGCCTGACCACGGACCTGTGATGGGGGTGCCCGGGAGCTGGGTGGGCGCAGAGAGCGAAGATGGCCGCTCTCCGGAAGGACAAACCGGAGCGGAAGATTTTCCTCCAGGAGGTGGTGGGAGCAAGCTCAGGCCCCCAGGACCCACTGGACGTGGTCTGGCATTCCCCGTTGCGCCTTCTTTTTTCTTCATGTTCTGAAAGAAGAGAGGGAAATTCGGGTGGTTATCACGTTTAAATCCAGGGCCGGAGCGTGATTCCTCCCAACCACGGCTCACATGAAGCCAAATTGTTTTATTCTAGGGAGAAATCTGCTGTGCTGCAAGGTCCCACTGCTGGAGGAGCAACCGGGGTCAAACCAAGGATGTTTTTTACCCACAAACCCCCACCACGAACCCACAGACCTGGTTCCATAACCAGGAACTGTAACACAACCCCTAATCACTGCACACAGCGTTACCACGAAGGGCTCTGCACCGGGCTTCCCCCTGCACGGGGATTTTGGGGCAAAGCCGTCACTTCCTCTTGTGTCACCCAAGGGCAAGGTCGGGAGCGGATTTAGCCGGAGAAGCCCCTCACCGCAATGTTGAGTTTGATGGTTTGCCCCTCCTTGAAGCCCAGATCCAGTTTGGGTCCCTGATCAGGGTTCTCGGCCTGTTTGGCCAGCTCGCTCTGCTGCCTCACCCATCTGCAGGAATTAAATAAGCAGAAAAGGATACATCAACACCAGCCTGAGGCTCTCCCAGACAAACCCTGCCCAAGATCATCCTCTCTGCCTGGCAGCCGCTCTTTAAAGGTGCTGAATGAGATGCGAGACCTTTCCTGACAAAGCAATGTGCTACAGGCAGCACTGGGGGAATGACTCCCACCAGCAGCAACCAGTGCTCGAGCCGCATGGATCCTCCAGCCAGCAGCATGTTCCGTCCTGCCCCAAATCCCCACAATCTGCCAGGAGCTGGAGCAGCATCCCAGCGCCTCAAGAGCAACCCCTTACCAATGGCATGTTGAAAAAATGAAAAGGAATTAGGGAATTTGCCCTATTTTGGACTGGGAAGCCCAGTTTGGGAGCCTGCTGGGAAAGATTTGAGAGAGGGAGAGCTGCCTGCACAAAGGCTGCGCAGAGGAAAAGGCGTTTCCACCTCTTTACCCTACGCTTGCCTGCTCAAGCACAACAGGAGCTCACAGCTTCCTCTCCCCCACCATTTCTGGTGGACACCCAAAAAAAAATTTTTAAAAAAGCAAAACAAACAAAAAAAAAAAACCTCAATTGAGCTGAGAGGACACAGGGAGAGGCACAAACTCACTTGAAATGGTCTTGCAGAGCCACATTGAAGTCAAAAGCATCTCCCCGGTCGACAAAGCCGACTCCAATGAAAGCTCGTCGGCCTGGAGAAGGAGGAAGAGTAAGGGCTGGAATCATAAAGCAGTGGCAGAAGAGGGATGGGATAACCCGTCCCACACACCCTCGTGCCTGCCACCTCCCTCCAGACAGAGCTGGGACTTGGGAGGCCGAGGTACGGGACCAGAGGTGTCTTTAGCTTGTTGGCTGCACATACAGGCTTAGCAAAACCAGGTTTTGAATTAACATAAGTGAGTCAAAGCAGAGGCTGGAACCATGGCGATGATCCTGCACACAGAGGCATCCTCACGCTAACGTCGAGCAACAGAATTAAACTGGTTTTATTCACGATGAAGGACAGAGCGCAGCTGACACGTGGGAGTGACAGAATTTGTCCCTTTGCCACCACATTCAGGGAATATTTAGCCCCTGAAAATAGGAATCCTTCACAAATAAGAGCAGCGAGGGCACTGAAGACATTCTGAGGCAATTCCTCCAACCCGCCCCCCACATATCACAACATACCATTCCCATCTTCAATCCGGATGACGAAGTATCTGCTGGAATCTGTCACACTCTCCACAGCGATGCCAGGGAACTGCTCCACCGGTGCCTGGGCAAAAAGCTCTCCTGAGAAAAAGAAATGGGAGCAGGTTAATGCCAGGGCGTAGTGCTTCCGTGCCATCTTCCTCCCTGTGAAGAGGCGTGGAGCTGTCGCCTTCCCTCCTCCTTACCCGAGGTTTTGTCTTCCAGCTTAATGAAGGCAACCTTGCCCTTGGCTGTGATCCGCAGCCTGCCCC